CCATTTATCCATATTTTTTAGGCATTCTCTCATCCAACTTTTTATTTTTATTCGGTCCTAGAATGTAGAGAAATTTCTTTCAAACGTTATCTCACGTTATCTCTATAGTTCCATACGTTTTTAAATTATTGATGAAAATTTTATTTTTCCTAGATGTTTGAATCATAATATGTCTCATTACTTCCTCTGTTTTATGCACTACAAATTTTATTGTAGGTGAGTGAGATACCCCAAAATGATCCTTGTCGAGCCCACAAAGACTCCTTTGAAAGTGAAAGCAAAGGTCAAGCGCTTTTTAACCGCTAATTCGCTTAAAATGTTAAATTGCTTTCCGGTTCGACTGTTTCAAAAGCATACCAAACGCACGTGCTATTCCTCAACTGGTTGTACATTCTTGGTGTAAACGCGTTAGGTGTGCGTGGCTTTCGATACATTTATTCCTGCTGTCTGGGTGCCGGTAGACGCATAGTTGAGACGCATAGTTCATGCGGCGATATTGCGGAGAAAAATGCTACGAGAAAGCAAAGAATGGCACAAGGTATACCAGGGTATCCGAGCGATTGCCTCGGCCGCAAATCGCGATCGCTGATCACGGAATAACTAGTCGTGTAAGTCAGCTGCTAGAGGTCGATCGATAATATGAAGTAACGAGTACGATAGAAAGCACATTGCGCAACCCTTCCACCGAATACCTTCCACGTTCGATCACTTTCAACGATCGCAGATAATCGCTGCTCGCATAAACAAATTAGATGAATATACCCGATACTCGAGCCCTAGCGTCCTAATTGCTAGAACGAGTCTGTTGTATGCATTTCGTAGCTTTGTTGTTATATACTGCCAGGACTTCAATTTTTCCCGTCAATTTTTGTATGGCACTGTATTAATTAAACGCTTTGAAACCTATTTATAACTTTCAAGTCCACTTCTATGAAGTTCGTTTTTAATTGTTGGATGGCAGCACAAGCTCTTTCTTTTGGAATCTTGTTAACGACAACTCTATAAGATAAATAAAGGATTAAAGACACTTTTATCGTGGAATTAAATTGAACGCACAAATAAAGAAATACTGGACTCCCAATGATCGCCATCTATTATCTACTACAATCGTTTGGATGTCCCCGAAAAAAGGAGTTTACTGGAATCGAGGAGGTCGCCATCTAGCCCTGACATGGGATGTGTTTCCCTTAATGAATCCAGCTGGTACACATCCAAGTACGCGACAGAAGGGGTGGGAAAGGGGACGAACAGTGCGAGTAGCCTCTCCGATGTAACAGGTTCGATGCATTAGTTTGCCTAAAAGGTTTGCGCCATCAGTCTCTAAATGTCCCTCTGTCGTTGCCCCGCCGTCTCCCCCGCCCTGTCCCACCCACACCACCCCCGTATCTCTGTTTCTCATGTGTCGTTTATGATCTCACTTATCCACCCCGTCTCTGTTTCATCGACGTGTCCTCCGGGGAGACGGAGGCCGAGCACACCCCTGCAGCTTGCACGAGGACGGCCTGCGCTGTAAATTAAGTGCGTTGCATTAGCGGAATCCAGATGAGTTAGCGCACCGCGTTAATTCGCGCTAATGAACAGGTTATGAAAGTTTAATTGTCGGTTAGCCACCTGGAAGATCGACGGACGGAACGGGGGTGGAAAGCGCAGACGAGGATTTACGGAAGTTTACAGAAATTGGAGGACCCCGTCTGGGGAAGCCGGGAGTTTCTCGTCGACGATATAGCCGGGCTAATCTCTAAAGGGGAAAATGCATTTTGAATCGAGAAGCTGCATTTATCTGATACGTACACGTAGTCTATCCGGCCCTCGTCCATTTTCTCTGTTATCGACGGTTGTTTGATAGCCAATATGGAAATTTATAATGGACGCTTTGGAAATGAGGTTAAGGCGAGGTTAAATTTAGAGCTACCTTTAAATATTTCTAACAAACTAACCGATAATATTATCATTTTTTATATCCTACGTGTAACCATCAGACTTTGGTACGTTACATTTACTGCGATACAAATACAATATGTATTTAAGATGGTAAAGAATAAAAGTATTATCGAATTGTTCATTAGTTTATTGTTTTATTGTGAATAACTAAGAAGAAATAATTTCAAAACTTTCCAGACAAAACTGTAAAACAACAAAATTGCATTCTACGCTTTCCAAATGTTTTTGAACGAGTTATCGCGAATCGTAGGACACCCTGTATGTGCTGGCGTTTCTGCCACCCGCTTGTACGAGAGAACGTATACACGCGAGTGCAATTACCTGCTCGCCCCCGTCTACCTGTTCGACGGGAGCCTGCACACATAATTACCGCCGGGAACTCGTAATTATTAATTTAGGTACTACTCCACAGACCTATATGCCGATCTCCTTTGCGGGACACCTATGTTGATGAGAAGCATTTCGCACCCTTGTGGAAATTAATATCAAACGAAATTAATATCAAACATTTTTAGAGGGTAGCGGCAGATCTGTTGTTCCTTTTTCGCATTCTCGTGAAACATTATTACTTCAACAAATTAATATCGTTATTTAAACAACACAACAATCAGTGGATGTCAATATAATTCGATTTTTGTTCCTGTTCCTATCGAGTCAACATACAGACTTGGAACTTACTCGCTTATTTTATTTGTCTTAATCTTGAAGGTTCAGCGAAAATTCAACCTTTGTATTTTTAACAATTCCAGTCGATGCAACCGTGTCAACGTGACAAGACATTATTTCTTGATACGTCTGAGATAACTTCGTCTACCTCCTACAAAATCATACATATAGTCGCTACAAAATTCACACAGCTACCCAAATCGTACATAAACGGGACCGCAAAGTTTCGCGTTTCTACGAAAATCTTCAAACCAGAATGACCCCTTAATTACGACCCAGCATATGAACCAGACCCCGGGTTAGTTCCCTTTCCTCCTCGGTATGAATATCGCATTAAGTCATGAGGGAGAGATAGCTCCGGGCGGGAGTGGGCCTCCGATGGGAAACTACGAATTTAATAGAATAATAAATGGATTCGCCTGCGTTATGGCAATACCCCTGGATGATGGTGTATACGAAGATCGCCATGCGATAATTCAGACTTTACCTCCTCGAAACTTCATTTCGTCGACTACATTTCCATAAGATACCCAAGTCTCAAACCACAATTTTATCAAATAAAAGAAGTATTTTATCAAAAACGAACCAGAACGAATGTTTAGACGAAAGATAAACACTTTCGCCCCTCCTCCCTTTCACCGAAATAAACAAGACACTCATAGTTGATACACGCGGGATTGCACGCGGGAATCATCGTACGCGATGGTTGCCCACGAAAATATTCCCAAACATCCAGTACAGCGTGCTCTCGATCGCTCTCTCGCCCACCCTGGTTGCAATTTTCAACGCGGAGGCTGCCGACGGTCGGGGCACATGTTAGCACAGTTTACAAAATAAACACCCGCGCTTTGCGCATCGGAAAGGGCGGCCAGCGGTACGACGAGACGACGGGTCCAGGGAGGGGGCCAGCGTCCGTTGTGCACTGATAACACAATTAGCTTGTCTCGTCATGCGCGACCTCTGATAAGGGATTCCCTCACTCTTGAGTCCTCGCTAACATCAACCCCCACTCAAAATTGCTCCACCTCGCTCGCTCGAGTAACATGCCGCTAGCTTGCGCTCTCTTTCCCTCTCGTCCACTTCAAGCGTACTAGCGAGCAGGATCGCTCGTCAGTCGAGTAAATCCAGACGAGGAGATCCCCGGGGAGTACACGGCGTTTCAGGGACGCGCGATAAGGGCAGCGGAGGGGCCGAGGGGGTCGGAGAGCTTAACCCTCTCCGATGCGAAGGGACACAACACGGGGTGAACCGACCCCAACGTTAATACCTTCCGGCAGGTTTTCTTCACTTGATTTATTCCGCAGGGGGCTGGAATCGCGTGGCATGGCACGCACGTGCGTGCACACGCCGTGCCGGTTTTCGCACGGACACCGTGTGGGTGTACACAGAGCGTACGTACAACGAGGGACCGGAACCGATGCGCTCCGAGCTAGGACACTCGAACCAAGTCCACGGCTGTCCAGATCGAGCCCTCGATGGAGGATTCGGAGGAGGATCCCACCCTGTGCGAACGCTGCCGGAGGGATATCGGAAAGAAGGTAATTTTTAACCCTTATCTTGCGCTTCGAATGCGAGGTTTGTACGAAAAATTCTCATCGTTGCATGGTGTACATCACGGTTTTCTTGGGGTGCGCAGCCCCTATAGAAGGAGTGGGTCTCATAATCCCAGGAGGGCGCGAAATGAAATTTTTAAAGTAGAGAGATACGGTTAACTTGAACGTATCTTCCCAGTGATACATTGATCGTCAACGACTATTGGAATAAACTACTACTGTTTATTTTTGTAGGGTCTGCTTTGAAATACTTGAGAATGACTGGACTGTGCAATAACGTTAGAAGAGGTTGAATAGCATGATAATGTTATTTATATTGCTTGATAGATATTCACGTGTTGGGAGAAGCCTATTTCTGAGGTCTACTTAACACTGGTTCTGTAAAAAGTAGGTTAAGAGCCTGTTTCTTGGTAGAAAGCCTTGGAATGCTTTCCTATGCTTGTACGAAGTACTATCAATTAATATAATCATCGAGTTCCATCCCTTTTGAAGAAAACTGTGTCCACGATTAGGAAACATTGAAAACTAACATTCTGTGGACGTCGCGACCCTTAAAAAAAATTGTTAAAAGTCCACACTAAGGAAATGCAAAGAGAAATAGGTTTTGCGAGTGTTTCGGAGCAGAATAGCCCCTTAAGGGCAAAAGGGAGAATGCCTGGCACGATTGAAAAGAAGAGGCCACCGGGAAGCCCACTAGCCATAGGCGGAGGCGCAGTGGAGCATAGGGGGTGGCAACGGTGCGGTAATAGCATAAATCCGTGGTGTAGTCGGGGCTCTCGATGCCGACGAAGAGGGGGAAGAGACAGGCCAGAGAGCAGCCGACTGTCGGAAGAAACGACAGTCGCCACTCGACGCCTGCATCGAACACAAGGCGGCTTGTGCGCAGCCGCGAACGCCGCATTTTTCGAGAGAGTGCTGCATCCGTTCCTCAATCGAAAACTGGTTTCGAGCGCGGATCATGATCTCGGTGAAATCGATTGTGCCGGACGATAAACTATCGGGGTCCGTTGCGCATCGTTCCACTGCTGTTCGTAAACATTGACAGGGAAATCCATTGAAAAAACCCAAAGACGCTTCCGCGAGCAACAATCGATTCCTAGAAGAAAATCAGGCTCCAAAGCCTGAGAAAGGATAGCGTGATTAAAACTGAACACCGTGTAAAACGGTGACTCCGGAAGCTCGGCGAAAAGCGTCCGTCGATCACTCCGATACCATCGATCCCAGGATCGACGCGAGAGAAAAAGTATCGGCGAGGACTGGCGCGGTGTACACGGGGGCGGGAACGCAAGAGGTCTTCGAACGTGGCGCGCATGCCGAGAGAAAAAAAAAGAGCTCGTGAAAGTGTCCTGCCGCGAGAGAATCATCGGAGACGCGTCTATCGAAGTCGATGGAACAGGTGCGAAGCACGTTTCCGGAACCGAAACCGAGCATCCCGCTGAGAGGCTGGCGAACCGTCGAGGGTGAAATGAGACGACGAATGGGACGGGGTTCGGTGTGACCGAGGAAACGGCAACGAGAACAGGTCGCAGGATTTTTCCGCCTACACGTGACAACCGGGACAAAAGGCCCTCCTACGGGCGAGCGTTTTCCGAGGACAGTTCTCGACTTTTACTTCGCGAAGTAAAACTGCCCGTTGTGGTGTTGTGAACAGTGTACACGGGTTTTCCTTACTTGCTATTTTGAAGTTTCACGTGACCGAAGTGTTTACCGTTTTTGTTTTCTCTTCTGCCTTTCGCGTGCACAGCTGATCGGTGTGTGCCGTCGAGAATCGTTCAGAAACTCGAGTATTTGTCAACTACGGCGAGAGGCGATCCATCTTAGGACAAGTACGGAGAGAGGACGCACGCTGAATAGACGTTGTTTTATCAGATAACATCGAGGGACCCCGGTGTGCGACACGAATTCGAATGGTAAGTCTGTTGCTCTCTTAATTTATTCCGAAACGAGCGAGACCGGCGCGCGTGAAACCGTCGATTTTACTGCTGTCACGTTCGTTGGCTCTGGCCGATCGAGAACGTGCGCCTTACGAGGGCAAGATTCTTGCGGAATGAAGGATCATTTTCATGCTCGAAGTAGCCGGATCGTTACATATTTTTCTTGCTTTAAATTCAATTGGAAGGTTTATAGATTCCGTAGACGACTTCGAATCAAATTGTGTTGTTGTTGTGGTTATGATTGAATTGATTCACTGGTGAAATTCGAAGTTGATGTGTCGTTTAGGTTTGCCTTTGGTCGAGCCAATATCTACCGTAAAAACAAAATACTCTCGCAACTGTAATGTAAACGGAATAATATGATGTATTTATTATTTTCTAAGTTGTATATGACATTTACTTAAGAATTATTCTCGTGTCCGTTTCGAAGGGATGTTATAACAAGAGATGGCAAAATGAAACCTGAGATTTAGTTTAGCACGATGAAACGAAGTAAAAATAAATAACGCGATAAAAATGAAAAAGAAATTCTTCTCCGTATACTTTGATGACTAGCTTGTCGGCTTGTTGTTTGTATTTTGGTCGATGCACGAGTAAGGGGTTGCTAGCTTTTATCGACGCTACTTCCGCGATTCTAATATCGAACATTGGATTGAGGTTATTGTTACGGGACGATAAATCGATAGCCGTCGACAATTGAAACAGTTACGTGACCGTTGGATCGATTGATGATGATTCGTGTTGGAGTACGGGATGTTTGTAAACAAATGACAGCGCGTATTGAAATTTCCAGACAGCTGTTGATATCGCGATTATTTTGCGTAATTATTTCGCGTTCGCGTTCATTGGCCATTCACGCGAGATACACCACGTCCGTGGAACAAACCGAAAGATAATGGAACGTTTATCTCTATGCGCACGTTTTCATGGTTAGCAAGTCGAACATCGGCTGCGAAACCGAGAATAGAAAGTAGGAAACACTGGATAGTCGAGGAAGACTTATTAGAACGTTTAGTAGACCCCGAAATAAAAAATTTTGAAATCCATCGGCCGCTTTTGAAATCTAACGACCATAGCGACCGTGCTTATTTTAAATTTGCGAACATTAGGTGAATTAAAATCAAGTAAAAATAGTTGTATCTATCAATGTACTTCGAGGTAATAGACATTTAACAAGTGAATTTTCGGTGGTTGGGGAGAAAAAAGTTCGTAACATTTATTTTGGTTCAATCTGTCGATAGTGCTGACGAGAAGAAACTTCTCCTGAAGACAGAAGGAACAAAGATGCTGTAACGCAACAAAATTCTTAGGAATATTTTCCATAAATACAGATACTTTATAATATCGTATAGCTTTCTAAAACCCATATCTCCCAACACGCGAATTTCTACGAAGTCGTGCCAACCCAGAGGCAGGGAAAATTTCGCACTAATAGTAGCGAATAAGAATTCATGGCGTTTATTCGACGCGACAAATTTTTAGCTTCTTAGATGACTTAGATGTTCACGAAGAATTATTTAGCTCTATTGCTATTTCCATTTGCACCGTGATTAATCTGTTTACGACTCAAGAACTACTTTGGACAATAAACTCGACTTGTCCCTGCGGGCCACGATCCTTAATTAAGAAATTTCGTCCGAGCCTTCGATCCTCGGCCCGCATAAACGCTCAAATATACTAACTGTTCTAAAATGCCGTTACAGGGTAATCCATACCTTTCACTAACTGCTTTAGATTTATATCGGTAAGTTACTTTGGATTATCCGATTTCATAAATTCAAACAAAAAATCGTTTTAATCGCAATGCTTACAAACATTAGAGATTGTAAAATGCCAACAACGGAAAGTTTTAGTCTATACTTCTCGTAATCAAGATTACAGTGTCTACCAAACGATAATCCAAATCCATAATACGAGATAGCCACAACAAGCGCTCATTTTCGATCATTAAAATTTCCAAACGTGTTCGCAATTAATCTCAAAATTCAATCTCTGCCAGAAAATAAGGTATGAGAACCCCTGGGAGCGTACTCGTTGGTACTGTGTGCTTTGGGGATGAGTCTTCCTCGAGGAAGATAGTGGAGCCATGGAACGACGATAAACTGTCGGGAGTGGGGGTAGATAATGCTGTAAAAAGTTAGGAACTTAATGTCTTTGACCATTAGACGAGAGTCACAAGCAGATACGTTGGATGTCAGATTAATGTCCAACGCGACGAGGAAATACTTCTGCTTCCTATCCCGTTTGGTCGTTCAGTGCGTGCTGCGCTTCGTCCTTTCAGCCCGTAGGGGAACAAAGGAGACCGATATTTCCGGGATGGATTATTGGGTTTCGTGGGTGGTTCGATGGGACCTCTCGGAGTCAGGTTTGCGGAAGAAATAAAAAAAAACACACACACACACGTGCACCATTTTGCGCTTGTTAATCGGTTCTATGGCGCCCATCCCGACCGGGGGATGATATTGATGTCGAAATAGTGTGTTGAGTCGCGATCGCGCACGCGGTCATTGATGGAAAAGCTCCTCTGCCCCCAGGAATATCAGCTTTGTTGCAGTATACAGGAAAAGGAGTAATTGTTTCGTGCACGACGATATCGAGGCCAGAGTTTATCGCGAAACGCTGCAACAGCTGTTTCAATGTCGAATTGTTTGGTTTTCACTCGCTCGTCATACCGTTGTTTTAAAATTATTACGCAGGTAGAGTCACCACAGGCTACTCACTCAACTCGGTCTATTTGTTGTATTATTTAACACGTTGACTGCCAATCTCCGTGCCTTATTTTTCGTTTAGACTCCTGCGGTACAGCGTACGTAAACTTTTCGAAGCCACTGTTTAGCAGAAAAGTCGAACAGTTCAACTTTTTTTCGCGAACGGGAAAAAGCGTCTTAATTAACCCTCAAGGGACGCCAACCGATATGGAGAATCGCGTTTCGATCGTCGTTCCTTTCACCGTCGCCGAAATGTCGGTTCATCGAAAATGTCCTCGCATCTCTGATGAGTTTCTTTTGACAGTGCACGGACAGCTTCGAAAAAAAGAGTGTCATGGCCGACCCAATTGGGCACGAGCACATACGATCCATGCGTGCACTTTCGTCGTTAAAACCACACAAAACGTGAGACGAATCTGCCGGTTTGCGTGATCGTCGTGCCTGATCGAGATATCCCACGTTCGATCCCATATTCCGATCGAACTACCTTAGAAAGTGTTGCACCATAAACGCATTCATCTTCGCACACGTTTACATACAGGGTGCAACGTGTGTGTTCATCGCGTGCAGGTTGCAACACGTCGTCACATTGTCGGGAGCGAGTGCCATGACCGCGTCCGCGTACCATAGCGATTCTTAACCACGGTGTAGCAAGTGGTTTGACAACGGATACGATGAATTTTTGCGTCAATTTTTATTAGAGTTTATTAAGAAAAAAGAGACGGCGAAAAATGAGATACGTTACATCTGTTTCTTCTATTTCTGTAACGTTTTTTCATATCTTCAACGATTTTAAAACAATCTTTACCAATCAAGTAAAGTAACGAATATTAAACACGCGTTAATTAAATCGTATCCGAGGATAAATTCTAGGAGGCAAGCTAAAATATCGTAAAACCAATGTCAAAGTGAAAGAAGCAGTAGAATATAGAGGAAGTACCCTAAGCAGCTTAAGTAAATGTTTTCCCCGAAGAAGTTAGCAAACCATCGACTAGTTCGGCTAAAAATAAACGTCGAGAGCGCCATGAAACGTACTTTCCATTGCTTTTCATCGATAATGCGTCGTTAACATCACGTGGGAACTGAAAAGCTCGTCCTTGTTGCGAGCGCGCTATCGGAAGAAGAGAACGACGTATAAACTCACCGGCGGGGTTAGAAAACAGGATTGACAAGCGGCTTGCATCGACGCTCATAATATTGTCATAAGACCTACACCTGCGCGGCTGCTGGCCGCAGTAGCGGATCTATAAGCCTCGGCGAGAAAGAACGGATCGGAGTGCGCCAGGCTCGCGACAAATGATCGCAATCTACTTTGATCTCGATCCGCTTTTCCGTGGCCTCGACGCGACTCGAACGCAGATCCTGACCTCCGTTAACCTGGTATCTCTGACCTCGAGGATCGAACTTGTCTTCGGGGCACACTTTTCATCGTTCCCTGACCTCGTGATATCGACTATCTCGATCGTTCACGGCTGGGTGAAGCCGATCGAACATACCAAAGAAACTAAGAAGATAAAGTAGTTCATGTGAAGATGAATTTTTTTGCTACATCTTTTGTTAATATTCTACCGAAACAAATTTTTCAGTCGTGAGATATCAGTAGGATGCCTTGTCTAGGCTTTGGAAGACTTTAAAAACGGAGTAGTTCTCGAAGGATGTTGCCTAATGTTTTTAACACTAAACCTACAGATGAAAGGTTGGTAGCTTTAGCATTAATACGGTAGTAGAACGACGATTTTTAAAGTTTACAAAAAAGTAATACACGCGTAAAAATCGTGGTACCCCTTCGCTTACAGTCTAAACCGAGTTCTTAATCTAATCTTGGAATTGTTATTACCGATATCCTGGTTTATCACCGACTTCTCCAAGCAAACCAAGAAGTATTCGATTCAATACTGGATACCATCCCCCTCGAAATACGTATATCCGCGTAGCCACGATCCATAGCTGAATTTAAATTCGAGTTTAGATTTATTCTCGGTACGAAAAGGCCGCAGCTGCGCTTAGGCCATGCAGGATTGAAACGATGGGTCTGTAGGTGTACGATATACAAACGAACAGAACGGGGGTACGGAAGGGGTCGATAATTGTGACAGAAATTCAATCCTTTGGATGCCGAACCTAATGCCCTGTACTGACCGCCAATTCAATCAAGTGCCGACCAATCGTGGCCCCCGATGCGGGATTTTAGCCTCAGATTGTACCGAGGGATTTTGGCACGGTCCAGCAGGTCCAAATAAAATACCGTCGAACGTATATATCGTCGAA